AAAACAAGAAGGTGTTTTATTATGATTACTCCGTTACATTGATAGAGGCTGCAGACGGAGAGGAGACTCCCCCCGTGGGGAGATGCCATCCGCCTGGAATACCTCTAGAGCAGAGGTTCCCATACTTTTTTGTGTCGTAGACCTGCATGTTTTTAGTTTTGGGTAGACCCCTACTTACCTTATATTGATTTTTAGTAAAATTTTATCTGGAGGGAAGTAAGTGTAACAAGATGATACTGGTATATCATTATATGCAGGTTTATACAACTTCAAAATGTATTGCGACCACAAAGCGAATATCTTACGACTTACAAAATTTTATAAACATATACATATTTTTGTATATAATATTTTTTATTATTTCATCGATACTTTTATATATAATGTATATGTCTTTTAAATAGAAGATAGCATAATGTTAGTAAATAAGTGCTATCAGTGTATGTTGAGATCCATTATTGTGGACCCCCATTTTCGTTTCATGAACCCCCAAATTTTTTTTCGCTGACATGGACCCCTTGCAGGTCTTCATAGACCGCTAGGGGTCGATATAGACCACTTTGGGAATCACTGCTCTAGAGGCACCAGTTCGTCATAGACCCCTAGGGGTCGATATAGACCACTTTGGGAATCACTGCTCTAGAGGCACTCGCCAATGCTCGGCTTTAAGTCCCCTTAGGATCTCGCCGTCCGCCGTTGGTCTGTGACCAACAGCATACACATTTAAAAAAAGGTAGATAGAACAGGAATGATGACGGGGTGAAGTAAACGAAATACTATTATAGTTTGTCAGTTAAATTATTAAAATAATAATGGACACTTGTTTTTTCATATTTATGTCAATTAACCAAAAAATTAAAGATAATTACAAAGTAAATTTTTTGGGAGTGGGCGCTTATGACGCCACTGTTAAGTAAAAAAATCAATGCATCTGTGTAATGATTTGATTATGCGTGTCAAAAAAATACGTGTCTTAAAAGCATTTTTTGATAATCTACGAAGAAAAAAGTTAGTCATCATCGCTAAATAATAGGTAGGTCTGGTACGTGTACCACCACCGAACACAGAAAGTGGTTGGAAGGGTGAACATAGACCGTTAGTACGGGAACTGTATGTCGCCGGCTCGCCATCACTGCACTTCCACCTAATAGATATTAGCCATTTAAACGACGCGACATCGAACCAATTAGCGGTCAAATCTGAGAACAACGACGCCATCAGAACCAAGTTTTGGACAAGTTATGAGCATTTGCTCACATATTACTGTGGCGCACCTGCGTCACCCACAAGGCCCTTCTTAACTCTTTGTATTCTGTGGGGATTGCTATGACTATCGCTATCGCTTACGATTTAATTTTGTTATTTCTCACCGAAGGTTTTCAAATGCCTCGCGCTCTTTTTTTCCTTTTGCATTGGTAATACCAATATTAATGAAAACAGACCTACCAACACGGCTCAACTGCAAGAAAGGGCACACAGACAATATATAATAACCAATATATAGCGCAAGTGGTTAGCGCGTTCGGCTGCGATCGTTGAACTTAAGCAACTTTCGCAGTGGTCGGTCATTGGATGGGTGACCAAAAATTACTATCTAGAGCTCCTCCGTGCTTCGGAAGGCACGTTAAGCCGTTGGTCCCGGCTGCATCTGCATTCGCACTGGGCCCGCGTGGTGGGTCATGAGCCAATCTCCCTATTCCATCCATAGGGAAGGCCTGTGTCCCAGCAGTGGGGACATTAATAGACTGATGATGATGATGATGAATATATAGAAACTGCCGAGTGTTCCTTCAAGTAACACGCCGCCAAAAAGAAAAAAATCGCCCAACGATCCCGCGAGGCAGAGCTAACATCCGCCCTGCCTCCAGACCAACACAGACCACCGAGTACCAAACGTCAATGTTCCTGAGCCCAGAATCGGATCAACTTTAACCGTCCCCGCAAACCCGCCCACTGACCGGGGCACAAACATACCAAAAAGAAGACGTCGCTGCAGAAAACGCAATACCTAAATCAGCGATTTACTCTCGGAGTAAATGTTACGCTGAGTTTTCGCCCATTCGCATCGCTGCTGCACACGAAATTATCAGTATTTTTGTATAAATATAATTTGTTATATTTTTAAAGGATTTGTATAATTGTAAAATTTGTATTGAATTTTGTATGTGTGCATGTTGGTGTGAATAAAGTTTTATCTATCTATCTATCTATATATCTACCTACCGTCGACCTGCCACGACAGCCCAGGAGAACTCAACAGCCCAGCCGCTTAAGCCAACTCCGCCGCTTAAGCCAACTCCAAGGCCCCAAGCCAATAACAAGACCGCCTCCCCTTCCGACCAATGCAGCAGGAATAAAAAGCCGAGATGAGGCCACACAAACTGTCTCACAGGTCACAATCACAGCAGGAAGACGGACAGCCAAAAATAAATTACGCCACCATCGAAGCTATGACTAAAGGACCCCATACAAACCTTAACCAGAGCAATGGCCTGGTTATTATAAGGAGCAAACAAGTAGAATCCAAGAAAGGGATATTGATTTTGATGTGTTTAACTTTGTTTGTCCACAGGCCTTCTATTATGCAGCGGCGACAACATCAGCCGCCCTCACCTAAAACTACCCACTACAGTGTGGTACACACTCAAATTCTCTGTCCTCCCCCAAACTTACATAAACCGCGGCCTGCTCGCTGGCGCTAGCTGGGCCTCCCCTGAAAAGGGGTCTCACCTGGCATGGCTGACGCTGAAGGCCGCGTAGTAAATCCTTATAGTAGTAGATCCCAACCTACATCGACCTTCACCGAGCTGATAATAGAATGAAACATATTTTATCATGAACTTAGGCCTGTATTACAGAATGACAACTAAGTGTTGATCTTTACTTGAGTACAGTTAGGAAGGGATGTCGCTATGTGATATATATAGCGACATCCCTTTCTAACTATGCTCAAGACTAGATCAATCACTGAGAATCTTTCTATAATAAGGGCCCTAGTTAGTATACTAGAAAATATTATTAAAAATGGGTTGCTTAAAAAACTCCTTGACGGACTATTTTGAATATTTTTTTTACATTAAATATTGCAACATCGAGATAAATAAGAAAATGTTGTCCTGACTTAAATTATAAAACGTATAGAATGTGCAGCAGGGTAACATAACTGGCATCGACATGCCTGTTTGTACCTGGCAACCCAGTAGTTCACCCAAGGCATAGACAACCCAACGGCTGGACGTTTTATACTGTAATGCAGGACACCATTTTCTTACTATCTTGATGTTGCAACATTTAATTAAAAATATTGTTTAGAAAATTAATTAAAAATTGCCTGTCCAAGACAAGCAAGCAAGCAAGAGTAGTAAATATAGAGACGTACTTTTTACTCATGTAGGGGTTATAAAAAACAACCAAGTACATGTTAATTATTTATTAAAATAACACCTTGACTAGAGTCTTAAAACTAAATTAATTCTCCTTGCGCTGCGTGATTTACACGAATTTCACGAATTTTAGTGATGTGGGTAGGAGTAGTCAACATATCGATATGCCGAAAAATTATATTATAGACACTTAGGTATTTTTTACATCATTTAGCAATTAATAAAGTCAAAATTCCAAAAAAAAGATTTAAAAATAGAAACAAGTACCTACTTGATTTGTTTATTTTCTTAAATCCATTAAAATACACATGATCTCAAGTACTTTTTATTATGTTTTAAAGGACAAAGTTACAAACAACAAAAAGGAATAGAGAAACCTGCATGAGATATTCAGACATCTATATATATATTTAGTAACATAACAAAACTAACATAATATACAATTGGTATCAATAATACTGGTTATAACTTTAATTGTTGGAACATCTAGCTTCTCTTAATTTTCATTAAAATCGTTAACTAAGGATCCATTTATTAGGTACTTTCAATTATATAATTTAAAAGCGATATGTTGAAGTCAATAATTTGACATTCAAACAAAGGAAGTTAATGATGGATGTTGCTTAAAGTTCATGGTGCATATATAATTATAATACCCCCGAGATACACATCTAAACACATCTATCGGCACACTTAGTGTAATAAGATTCAACGGTCTGTAGCAAAAAATAAATTAAGTTAAGTTGAGTAATAATTATTTTGTTTTAAAAACACTCGGAAAAAGATGGTTTATGAATAAATTAGCTTTAACCTAAACTGCGAAAAAACTATTTGCTCAATGTAACATTTATTTTTAACTGGATACTGTAAAAAACATATAGGCCAAAATTTAAAATTCTAGGTGGGCCGGTAGATGAGTCCGGGAGTATATATTATCCCCCATATCATTTGTAACTGTTAGTGATGTCGATTCTGGCATGATTCTCTAAAGCTTAACTTAAATTTGACAACAGTGCATCCTTGTCCTTTTCTATACAGAATGAAAGGGTGACACTGACCTTAAATTTAGTTTTAAGTTTAGAGAATCACGCCAGAATTGACACCAGTATCTAAATAAACATTTAAACGCAAATCTACACAAAACTTATAATTATACGTTTTTAGTCTGTGTTTCTCATTTATACATATCGAATCGAGCCTCTTAATGCTAGTCAAAATATACATATTTTTTAAAACAAAAACATTATCAACATTGATAGGAACATTAAACTAAGTTTGGATAATCTTTTAATACAAAGTTTACATTTCCAATGGTTCATGTCAATAGTTCTGTGGAGGAACTCGGTTATTTTATCTCTTATCTAATAGACAAGTCCGTCCGTCCGTCCGTGGTGCTGTTTCAGCGGCCAAACCGTAAGAGATAGATATAGAGAATGTTTAAGTTATAAGTTAAGAATAGTCTGATAAGACTACAAACCGGATGTGAGTAACGTAGCACTTCCGGTTTTCGAGAAATCACGTGATTTCTATTTCAAACGAAACCACACAAAATCTCCGAAGTTCTCAATTAATTAAATGATTTTTTTTTTGGTGAACATTTGGTTCACTGGTTTGCTAGTTTACTATAATTGTTTCCGTAAAAATAAAAAAAATGATAGTTTGATGAATACAAAAAGGACTAGTTTTATAAATAAAACTGCTTGATAATACTAGTTCGTCCAAGTATGTTATTCTTCATCCAAATTATTAAAAATGTTTTAAATATCCAAGGAAAATTCTATTAATATTTGTGCACAATTTTCTTGTTAAAATTTCTGTAGAAACTAGTCGACATTTACCTTTACATCCATAAGTAACAAACAAATGTTGCGTTTTATTCTTGTCGTTTAATTCTTAGTAACTAGTTAGATGACAACATTAGCCCGCTATTTCGGAACTAGTTTCTCGAATAGTTCCTGTATGGCGAGCGCCTTCGCCAATCGTCTTCTAAAATCCTGCGAAAGAAGAAAGAGTACTTACGTTACACACGACAATAATTACAATTCATCAAAATTTACAATGGTCTAAACTATTTAATATGTGACTTTTTCTCTTTCTGCAATCTCCTTCGTTTTACAATTGGGAAAGAGATTAGTTATCTCACATTGTGACTTTTCTTAAGCTTTAAAGGGAATGTCGAAATGTGTAAGAGCAATCCCCTTGTTTCTTCCCGTATTGGTAAAAAGTGAATCACTTTGTCAAAAAGGCAAACCCTATCCAGTGAGGATCGGTGTGGGCTCACGAATTCCTGATATAACCATAAATTAATTTGTCACTTCTGACATTAATGCACTCGAGCGCAATGGAAAATGTTGATTAGTAGAATAAGTGTAATCTCCCTTTCAAGCGTAATTGTAGTGAATGGATAAATATTTTTCAAATGTATATTTCGTCACGGCGATTTCGGGAAATCCTACTTTTATCGACAAACTTTCGTTTTAGACTTTCCCATCCCGAATATACCAATCGCAGTTCATATAATTGTTATCATCACCAGCCTGTGAATATCCCGATAGCGGAGACCCTATAAAATGGATAGATTGGATCATGTAATGACCTAAGACCACGCGAGTCCAGGATGAGTCCAGGTGGGTGCTAACGCCTGCAGATGCAGCCGGGACCAACGGCCTAACTTGTCTTCTGAAGCACGGAGGAGCGAGAGACTGTAATTTTTATTCTGGTTATCCATCTATCATCCATAATTACCAGCCATTGCGAATTTTGCTTGTTAGGGTTCCGTACCCCAAAAGGAAAAAAGGGAACCCTTATTGTCATTTTATTGTCCGTCTGACTGTTGGTTTATACCTCGGTAACTCGTGGGGGTAACAAGTTGAAATTTAAACCATAAATGCAGGTCTTAGATTCCTTTAAGTTGTGAAAAAATCACAGTTTTAAGTTTACGTTAAAAGAAGATACGGCCTTTTAAACATAAAAGGCAACAGCGTCGCGGAATTTTGCGCTCTGTCACTTGGCGAACAAAATGCTTTGAACGGTTTTCTACAGTAGTTTTAGTATAGTCAATCTGTCGAAAAAAATATCGTTTCAGTGAAAAAAAAACCTAAAGGGTAAGTCTTGTTTTTTCTGTTGCCAAATGACGTCAGTCAGTAAGCCACCTTGGCGATGGGCATGTTCAACTCGTAGGCGTTTTTTGAAAAACTCAAAAAAACCGTCAAAAATTTTTTGAAACGCATTTTTCTTGTTTTGTATGCATTTTAGAAACTTTTTTTTCGACCATAATTGTAGAGGACACCCTCAACACTGAGTGCTACAATTTATGTCAATGTTGCAATCTCGTACAACAAAAAATGCGCATTGTAGGTGGCGCTAAAGTCTCAAAAAAGTGTTTTTTCACTTTTTTACCCTGAAAATATCATTTTAATGGAAAACTTTAAATGGCAAAGTTGTTTCGTACATAATTACCAACAACTTTTGTATAAACAATTTTTTTGTATTACTTACCGTTTTCAAGTTATAAATTGCGCAGGTATGAAAAATCCAATAGAGCGGTTTTGGGCAGTTCAAGTACACATTTGCAGTGCACATTTCAATGTACGTTTTTACTATTTTTTTTTCAATCATGAAAAAAAATAAAAATAAAACTATTTTTTTTCATTTTTTTTTTGTTTTTCAATCATGAAAAAAAATAAAAAATAGTAAAACGTCCATTGAAATGTGCACTGCAAATGTGTACTTGAACTGCCCAAAACCGCTTTATTGGATTTTTCATACCTGCGCAATTTATAACTTGAAAACGGTAAGTAATACAAAAAAATTGTTTATACAAAAGTTGTTGGTAATTATGTACGAAACAACTTTGCCATTTAAAGTTTTCCATTAAAATGATATTTTCAGGGTGAAAAAGTGAAAATACACTTTTTTGAGACTTCAGCGCCACCTACAATGCGCATTTTTTGTTGTGCGAGATTGCAACATTGACATAAATTGTAGTACTCAACGCCCTCTACAATTATGGTAAAAAAAAGATTCTAAAATGCATACAAAATAAGAAAAATGCGTTTCAAAAAATTTTTGACGGTTTTTTGAGTTTTTAAAAAAACGCCTACGAGTTGAACATGCCCATCGCCAAGGTGGCTTACTGACGTCATTTGGCAACAGAAAAAACAAGACTTACCCTTTAGGTTTTTTTTTTCAACCCTCAACCTACAGATTGACTGTACTATTTTTACTACGCCCCGCCTTCGCGTCGAGCGCGCCAATACGGGCTGCCGCACAAAAGTAAGACAGAGAGCATTTCATTGATTGAATAATGAATTGAATTGCATTTGTTTGTTTGTGATCGCGACAGCGGTATAAGAAAAAGTAAGACAGCGATAATGACATGTCTATGAATGAATTTTTACTACGCCGCTACCGCAAGCGATTATGGCATTATGGGTGACAGAGCAGGGGGCCAATCGCCTACCGGAAATGCTTTGGAAAACGCTAACGCTTACGATTTTATTTTGTTATTTCTAGCCGCCTGAGGTATTCAAATGCCTCGCGCTCTTTCTTTTTCTTTTACATTGGTAATAACAATATTAAAAAAAATGAGCGTGAGGCATTCGAAAACCTCAGGCGGCTAGAAATAACAATATAAAATCGTAAGCGTTAGCGTTTCCCAAAGCATTTCCGTTAGGCGATTGGCCCCCGGGTCTTTCCGCGAGTGTACATACGAATTTGTACGGAACCCGAGTCCGACTTGGAAATGTCGGGGTTTCTTTGGAGTGTGTACGCAATTTTTTTTTTATTTTATAGCCAGGAAGTCAAATGACTCTAGCCCACCTTAGAGCCCACCTGATGTTTAGTGGTGATAAAGTCCAAACGCAAAGATAGCTGGTACAGCCGTTATTAAGTTATTTGTTGCTATAGATTAATAATAGCTCGTAATTTTCGTCAGGTTAATTTTATCATTAAATTGAATCCTGTATTATCTGTACTATACTCTCAGTACAATATCTCCCGCCATAGATTTGCGAACCGTACCCCTAGCACGAACTAATATCGAATTCGTAACGTTTGCGAGAAATATCATTGTCAAATGTGAATTGATTTTTAGTTCTGGTGACGTCCTTTGTGGCGCTGCTGTTCAAGTTTCCATACAAAATTTAACGATGACATTTCGGACACGCAAACTATTCGAATTCGATATTGGTTCATACTAGGGGTACTGATAGCATAGCTTACCTTCAACCTTCACAAGTGCTTGTAACAGCCTAAACTGAATCGATTATTTTTTGATTTTGATCAGCTTGTTTACCGGTTAATTTTCAAACCTAAATCAGTATCAAGTACATTAGGAGCGTTTTATTTAGGTTTGGCTCTACCTTAACCTTAAAAAACCGGTTTTCCTAAAAAGCGAAATCAAATAGGTTTTGAATCAATTTAGTGGTTTTTGAAGGGTTTCATTTTGCTCTTACTGACGGCATCGCCTTCACCGTTTCAATTTAAATTTATAATGGTTTGATGTCAGTTTCTTTCCAACTACTGGGCGAGTGAGTGAAGTAGTGTGTCAGTACACAACTACAAAATGAATAACTTGACTCATTAGACGCTAGCAAACGTGTCAATAAAGGTATCAATCTCTGAGCATTAACAAGTTGTGACTTGATTAGTTCAAACAAAACAAACTTTAAGCGATGCCGACGCGTCCACGTGTCTCTCTGGATAAACCGGTTTATTAAGGTTTTAGGTACCGCTTTCATTTCGGACGCGCTCCGAACGAAACCGTTACTAAAAACCGGTATTAACCTTTATTTACCGGTATTTTCGAAACCGGTTACAAGCCCTGATTTTGATATGGCAGTGTACCAACCTGGTGTAGCATGTGTCCACCGTTGGGCACGCGGCTGGCGAACATCTCCTTGGTCATGAGACACAGCGCCTTCCCGTTCATGGGGAACCTTTCCGGGAGCCCACCACGCCGGGAGACCCACCGTCCCACCTCCGATCGACCCCACCTGCGAGGATCTGAAGGAAGAAAAAAAAATTAAAATAAAAAAAAAATACTATCTAGTTTTTTTTTTAAGCATTTAACTGCTAGATGTTTAAAACTAAAGAAAAGCTTTACTAAAAAAATCCCTTCGCAATCCGGGCGAATGCACTGACCAATTACGCTACCACGGCCCTGATGGCCGCGTCGAAATTTTTCCTAGCCTTAAGCTGTAAGGCAGCGCCATCTCTTCGCATTGTAGGTAACCCACAATGTCAAATGAATACTTTTTCAAATATTAAACATTTGAAAGAAGAAACAGCAATTACAGTTATGTTTTTATTTAATAAATAAAATACTATCTCTTTTTCTTTTTAGTGTTAAAAGTGAGTCAAACGTATAGATCAAAAGGGCCAAGGATTTTTGACCGAAATTAAAAAAAACCTTGCGTATCCTGCACGGTCACACAAGGGCGGTAAAATGTTTAACCGCACGTAATTTTGAACTTTTAAGGCTTACGCAGACCGGGACGGCATGGCAAGGGATTTTGCCGTGAGTCAGCGCACACTGGCCGCTTAGATACCGCGGCATTCCAGCACTATGCCGCGGCACGACAAAGCACGCTTCAGCGATTTGGTGTTGATATCGATTATTACAGATGAAGAAGTAGGTGCATAGGCTGATAATAGGGATAGAAGAAGATTTTGGGTTTGTAATCTATGGAAAGAAAGGGAATCAAAGGGTGAATTTCCCGCTTCTCTACCCCCGCCGCCGCACCCCGCAGTATCTCTCTACGAGCGCCGGAGTCCGTGGCATGCCGTTGCCTACCGCAGTATGCCATGGCATCCCGCCACGGAAGCCTGTGGCACGTCTTTTAATGCCGTGCGATGAAATCCCTTTCAATGCCACGGCATCATTTTAAAGCATAGCAATTTATGTCGTATTTCTGTAACAGTACGGTTGAATGTCCATTAGTAAAAATTTAAATCCCTTGCCATGCCGTCCCGGTCTGCGTAGGCCTTTATGAGCAAATATGTTCAAAAACCCCTTTACGTACAATGACTTTGACAGAAGAACGGGGCTATTTTCGGCCATCAAGCGCTCGCTTATTTAATTAGCTTAATAAGCAACTTACTTACCTAATGGCAAATCATCTTCTTGTAATGCTTTCATGCTCAGCGTGTCCCACTGGCCCCTGTCCCACTGCATCCCGGCGTCGGTGGGCGGGACGCGGTCGCATCGAGCTTGTGATGGCATTATGTGTGTTGACAACGGTGAATATGTCTGTAACAAGATGAGTAACTCCATTAGAAATAAATCTTTTTTAATGACTACCCTTTTAAAGGTTTTTAATGGTTTCTATTTTATAAGACTATATTATATCATTACTAGCTGCCCCAGCGAACTTCGTACCGCCATTAAAAAATAGGGGTTGGTGGTAGAAGGGTGAAAATTTAGGGTCATGCGTATTTTTGTATGATGTATCATAAAAAAAATTAAGGGTGGACCACCCTTAACATTTAGGGCGATGAAAAATAGATGTTGTCCGGTTCTTAGACCTACTGAATATGCATACAAAATTTCACGAATACCTGTCGAGCCGTTTCGGAGTAGTTCAATTACGCACACCGTGACACGTGAATTTTATATATTAAAGATGAGATACAATGAATAAATTAATATTCGAACGTAAGAAATAAAGCTTTTCACCGCCTACAATTATTAATACACTAAGTTCTCCAGTAATCCATGCTATAGTAAAAGTATTTGAAACAAACTCAGTAGGTACCCTTAGCACTAACCAATATCGTAGTCGAATCATCATCATGTCAGCCGTATGACACCCACTGCTGAGCATAGGCCTCCCCCAAGATTGGGCCACTTATTTATTCTGCTTGAGTAATCAACGATATTTAATACACTAGATCAACAACATCGCGAACAAAATCGTGGCCGAAACCTGTCCAAAAGGTAGATTGGACGAGCTACGGAACTCCGCAAGATGATCGCGTAGTCAAAAACACTATAAGGCATTATTTAAACATTCAAAGTTGTGACAGTCCGAAATCATCATGTCAGCCGTACGAAGCTCACTGCTGAGTATAGGCCTCCCCCAAGGATCTCCACACCGATCGGTCCTGCGCCACTCGCATCCATCGGCTTCCCGCGACCTTCACAAGATCGTCGGTCCACCTTGTAGGGGGCCTGCCCACTGAGCGTCGTCCGGTACATAGTCGCCATTCCAGAACCTTTCCGTCCCAACGGCCATCGGTTCTTCTTTCTACTCCCACTGCCACTTCAGCACAGCAATCGTTCGAGCGACATCGGTAACTTTAGTTCTCCTACGGATTTCCTCATTTCTGATTCTATCGCGTAGGGAAACACCAAGCATCGCTCTCTCCATCGCTCGCTGTGTGACATTGAGCCTTCTTATGAGACCCGCAGTAAAGGACCATGTCTCGCTTCCGTAGGTCATCACTGGCAACACAAACTGGTCAAAGACTTTTGTCTTGAGACACTGAGGTAATTTGGACGCGAAGATTTTTCGTAGCTTCCCGAACGCTGCCCGTTCCGTATTCGAATAGTTGATTCCAATCTGGATACGCGTCAAATGTCAGAAAAATAAATGTATATATGGAAGATTTTTAATTCTCGTTACGTTACGTATGGCGCTGTTCAAATTTCCATAAAAAACTTCTTGCGGTATGAGACAAGCGATCATCGCTGGGCCGGAATCGCTGAACAAGTATTACCTTTACTAGCTCTAGTCGCTCAACGACAAACTAGTGGAAAGAGTTCTCGCCGCGGGCAATGTGAACAGTAATCGATCAACTAATCACATATTGCTTTTTTTACATAGAATTTAAATAGATCTACGCGTATTGTAGGTTTCAAGAGCGAGAAAATAGCTAAGAGTTAGTCGCTTTCTCGCCGGCGGTGGGACAACTGCCTCAGGCTACTTTATAGTGTCTATATCATGTGCATTCACCTCAGACCTTCCAAATGATCGGGATGTCTTGACTGGTACATTTGCTGACGATACTGCAATACTGGCAGTCGACAAGACAGCTGGTGGAGCATCGGACAAATTACAATGCAGCTTAATTAATATCTCACAATGGTTGGAGGATTGGCGTATTGAAGCAAACGCAACGAAATCTGTTCAAGTCGCTTTCACTTTAAAACGAAATACATGTCCTGATGTAGAGATAGATTGATAGATAGATAATACTTTATTGACACACCACATTATAAAGTACAAAGTTTGGACATTAATTTAAATAGGTGGACAATTGGCGGTCTTATGGCTATGTAGCCATTTCTTCCAGACAACCATAGGATGGAGAAAAGAATTTTAATTGAAGAGGGGGTGTGCAATTACAAGACTAAAATAAACAAAAAAAGCAAAATCTAACCATGATTAAAATAACTGTTCTAAACTGATAAAAATTCAAATAAACAAACAAGAACATACATCGGTACATAAAATAAAATACACATTTTTAATAAACTTAATAATAATCATATGATGCAAGCAAGAACAGGGAGAATGCATGTACAGTTTAATCAAATAAAAATACCTCAATCAAATGATGTCCGATATTTGGGAATCCATTTAGGAAAATCTCTTAATATGCAACTTAGGAAATACCATTGGCTCACCTTACAAAATAAACTACCTACTTCTATACAAATGTATCCTGAAAATTATCTGGACTTACGGTCAGTAGTTCTAGGGTATTGCATGCACATCAAACATAGAGATTTTGCAAAGGTTTCAATCAAAAACTGTAACACTAATAACTGGAGCGCCCTAGTACATGACAAACAGTCGACTTCATCGCGACTTGAATATCAATACAGTTATAGAGGATCACTGGATCTTGTACCATTCACGCTTGTATCGAAATTCTTAACCTCCAGCTTAATGTCGCCAGGACAGTTTGCCGATAAAACGGAGATAACAAAACATATCATATGACATTCAGACTTTATCGTAGCACAATCGAACAAACAACAAAATAGTACAACTAATAGGAAGTGGCTACAATTCACCGGCTTTACAAAATCAATTACATAATGGCGACGATGGCGGGTATTTTAATCCGCCATTGGCACGCGTGGCCCACATCCGGTTTCCGGTGCGCGACACAAAATGGCGGAATTTGTACAAATGATCGGTTTCCGCGAATGCTTTTTTTTGTTACAATTCAATGGAGTTTTCGACGGATGTTTCGTTGATACGTATAAAGAATATCCTTCTGCTTTCCTGCTAGGGTTTTGATGGGGAAGGAAACATCTGTATTGTTACAAATATTTAATTAAAAGCTATTGATCCTATACCCTCAAGGGGTATCGTACGGGCAGCCACACCATAAGGCGTCGTCTTAATTGGCAAGGATTATACGATGGCACGATACGATTGCTCCTAAACGCAGGTCTCGTGCGACGGCTTAAGAGCTGTTTAGGACACTTCTGAAAATATCTGTATGTTCGAAAAACAAGACTCACAATCTTTGGAAAAAACTTGTCAATTTGTGAATAACATGATGTTCGGCTATTTGTACTTATGTACATATTGCGTGAATCTATTTACGAAATCTAGGTATGTAGGAAGGACAAAACTAAATTAGAGAACAGAACTATATTAGGTATATAGGAGTGGACTCAGCTCCGAACCTTGGGGCAAACCTTTCCATGAACGTTTTCGGTGGTGTTGAGTTTCTGTTAGCGTTAGAAGGTTGCACGGGGCAGGCTTCAATTCGAGAGAGAAAAATCAAAGATCATAATCGAATGATTTTATATTGTTTACCGTAAGTTATAAAATACTATTGAATAAAAGTCGCAAGAAGCCACTCTTGACCGATCAATGTGGATATCTTTAGGGCATGACGTCATTACCACTGGCCAGCGTACTGGTGTTTGATTCGGAATACACCCAATAAGTTTACCCATCCAATGACCGGCCATTGCGAAAGTTGATTAACTTCCATAATCGCAGGCCCAACGCGTTGACCGTCGCGTCATCGAACGCAGGACTATGGAAAAGGGAGTTCGACGGCCTATGTTTTATGAACGCAAGTTTTTTTTAACTGATAACTTCTTATGGGAGGGTAGACCGCTTCGTTACGTAACGCGTTACGGCGCCAGTCTGTCTGGCTTCCCATTCTCTGACGCATACGGCAGCTGTTTGAAGGTTCCTCTCTCACTGTTACCAGCAGCGCCGCTTAGATTAGTTACCACTTCTGTCGTGCGTACGCATACTAGTAGAGCTGTAGTGTAGACTAAAATGATTAAATATAATTATAAAAAAAAACTGAAAATGGTATATTTGCCTTTTCCAAACTTTTATTGACATCACGTCACTCAATTGCTTTGCCTTCCCGGAACCTCTCCACTAACATTTGAAATTTATGGTACGGTATTAAAGTTCAAATTGACTTTTAAGTATTATTACGAATCGTTTGTGTGGGAGTATAGAAAAGTATTGTTTTTAGACTTTTTAAGGCAATTTTTCTTTTCCTCGATACTTCAAGGAATATTCTAAAAAAAGAATTATCGAAGTAGGTTCAGCTGTTCTCGAGATTTTCGCTTAGCAACACATTCAGCGATTCATTTTTATATTATAGAAGATGAATAAATGCATGTGCCTCGAGCTACGCAGCCCACTGCTTCCTTTTTTCAGTGTATTCTTTAGCCGGTAGGTGGGTTGGATCACCCGAGCGGAAGCGCTCGCGCCATCTTTCCCGGACGCGCCATATTTGAAATCGACACTTCCGGTGCGTTTGGAAAAGGAACTGTCTACGTTTTTTATTGCTGGCGATCATTTCGTGTTGACGTTAGTTAGTTGCGACCTTTTTTATATAGCCATGTTAATTTATTCGCTCCCGTTGTTGAGACCGCCTTGTTATTACGTTAAATTGCAGTAAAAATCTTGTTTCGTGGCGACATTACAATCCATCTACCTAATTGGAATCCTTTTTGCGAAAGCAGACAGACAGGATAGGGATGATGACTATTTTTTTTTCTTCGTTTATCAGGTAGATTATCAAAAAGTATTGGACACGTATTTTTTCTTTTTTCACATAATATAAACATTGCAGAGATATATTGAAATGAAAAGTCGCATGATGGCACGTTTTGGTACACTTTTAAGTGAAATTTCACTAAAAAGTGACGTCACGAGCCCCTACTCCCAAACTTTGACGCGCTGTAACTTTGTCATTTTTTGGTTGATTGCCCAAAGAAAAAATACGTGTCCATTATTTTTTGATCATCTAACTGACGGACTAAATAGAATTTTGTTTACTGTACCCCGTCATCACCCCTTTCCGGCTTGTTCGTCTCGTAAACACACGTAAG